CTTCCTTTATCTTGCTTTGTGTAATCCTTATGTGATACTTAAGTTTTATGAGTGAAAACGAAATGTTCTCAGTTGTGTAATATTGCCTGTTGTTGGAATATCATTCGTCTTGAGGTTATCTGAATTTTAATTCATCTTAAATTTCATTCTCGACAATCAGTGTTGTTGATCTGAGCGATTTGATTTCGTTGAATTGATCTTGATTTGATGAAAATGTTCGACATGTTTGACTTTCACGTTCTGACGTAAACGCCTAATTGAGTGATTTCAATAATGAAAGCGATGATCATGATGGTGGTAATTGAGTTGCTGCTAACCTTTTTTGAGTTACTGATTTTGTTTCTATGAAAGTGCCCAACTTCAGGCGATGAGGTGCGGATTCTGCGATTGTTTTGGTCCATTCCGCTCACGGTTTAAGAAGGACGATCCAGACGCGCCGCTGGACGAGAACACCTTGAATCGATGTCTTGAATTGGTCAGGGCACATGAAGCTCGCCAAAGTAATAAGGTATGAATTTCAGTTTGTTGTTGAAGAAGTTATCAGATTTTTTGAGAGTTTTCGGACTTCCAGAGAAACTTCAAAGTCCAAAATTATCAGATGGAGAGAAAATTATCGGATAAGGAGGATTCAGTTCCGAAGTGTTTCACAAAAAATTGTCTTATTTTTTGAAAAGACTCAGTTTCACCAGAATATTCAACTGAATGTAGTGCTTTCGCACATCCGGACATACAATATTCCGAGAACTCGCTATTCATTCATTGTTTTTTTCGACTGGTATTTCGAATTTATTGCTTTCATTCAACATATCCACTAATCCGTCACCATTTGCCCACATATATTCGTCGTTCAATCCTATGCGAAAACCTTCTTCGCATCTACTCTAACTCAAGGAATTAAATCGAGCCGTTAATACTCCTAGCAATCTCACACAGAATGAACACGAATACTCACCCAGAATCCCATCTCAAAGTTCTTTTCAGCTCACCAATCAGCATATTCAATCACCAAAGAGAAACTAATGTGTACTTTCGAGATTCTTGATGATGTTGGTTCGATGTCCGAAAATTGATCTTCCATAATATATTCCTGCACGCACTCACTAGTCAGCTGTAATGGAACGCGAAATAATAAGTTTCGATTCCCAAAGGATCGTACACTCGCAGTCAGATGATAACAGATCCTAGTGAATGAATTTTTTGGAATTCTGGATTTAGAGTGCGAAAAAAAAATTGAAATTCTATTCCGCAAGAGATGAAATTAAATTGGGCAAGAAAAATAGCGCTAATAAACAATGACAACTGAGCGAGTGGCAGCCTAGAATCGGGACAAGAAATGAGGTTTCACTGAGATAGGGAAAGAATTTATGCAAAATCGTGGGCCAAGCATGGATGAGAAGAGTAATCAATTGTGAAAATAGTGATAACTGTAGTGGTCATGAAGAGGCTTATGTGCAAAAAGTACATTGATTAGCTGAGTTAATAAGTAAATAAATTAATGAATCCTATAAGAGTGCGTCAGCAAAAAATGGTACTGCTGTCAGCAGTTATTCAGGGATGTTCATTTCTTACAGAATAGAGTGGATGCACGCTGTTGAGCCAGCAAAAAGGCCTGAAAATGTTTTTCGTTTCGTTGAGCCAGCTCACTCAATCATACATTGACGTAAACAAGTAGCAAGTGCATTTAATTAAAATTTGCCAACTGCATTTTCTAACATTGCATGAGTGTTTCTAACATATGGTAAAAACATTCGAAAACGTTTCGAATTTTGCAAAGAAAAATTTAAATTAACTAAGAATAGATAAATCAAATTTCTGCGGTTCATTTTCCCATATGAACCATACGCGGAGTGAATTAGATGTGATGAATAGATTGGCAATTCTCATTTATGTGCAGAAGTGACCGTCACTTCAGAATATCCTACAAAACACTCCAAACTCAAATTAGACTAAACGGGATAAAACTGAATTTTTCAACCCCCTCCATTACTCTCCTGACATCCCCAATTTACCCAAACATGGGTAATTTCCTTCCCTATGAGGACCCTGCCCTAGACTAACCCTGACCCTGAAATTTGAGAAGTACTCTCTCAGAACTGTTTCACATTCCTGGTTACCTGAACATCACAAAATCGGCGAAAATGTCTTCCCGAATCACCGTATTCCTTCAGATAATTTGCTGTTAATGAAAACTAAACAGTTCAAATTTCAGTTTGGTGAACATAATCATCCGTTAATAGCGACTGTCAGTGAAGGCTGTTCGCCGTACAATACAACCGTTGAGCCGTGCGATAATCCCCTGTATCGCTCGCATAGTCCACCACCTTCATACAGGTTTGTTGGTGTTCGTCCATTGAAAACCGAGACTTTCATACTCTGAATTGATACATCCACCCATTCAGCACTCTCACAATCAGTTCAATTCTGTTGCACATCAGTTAATGCAATTTCTTACGTTAGACTAATTTCTGACGTCAATCACTGGATTTTTTCTTCCAAAAAAGGGAAGATTCAATTGGATATTCGATGCTCTATTGAATAACTCGTTCGCCCACTAAACTTTTCCCGTAATCATGTTGAAATATCGCATGAATCAAACGAGATTTTTCTTAAATTCAAACCGAATTATCTACTTGAATTTCATTGCATTCAGATCTCACGATGGCAGTTTGGATCANCTTCTTTGATAATTTCTTCGTTTCAAGTATCATTTTGTTTTTGGAGCATTTCATGATGATTGTCTTGAGCAATTCGGAAATTTGAAAGATTATTGATTCCTTCCAACAAATTTTAGCAGTTTTGAAAAAATTTCGGAATAGCATCGAGGAAGTGGAAAATACAGGGCTAAGAAAAGAAGTTCATGTGGTCAGGGGTAAACGTATGAATGTTTCGACCAAATTTGGAAATTTCTGCCATACTTTCGGTTCGAAACTGCGTACAAAGTTATGAAATTGCCCTACTGTCATGAAACTGTTTATGAAATCGTCCTATAGGATGCTATTTTTTGCGTTAGCACACTTCTTTGATCAGCAGCCGGAACCCATTGAATCGCTCATCTGGTTCTGATATTCCTT